TCTGGATCGGGCAATTTGTGGCGTTTCAGAAGTCTGATCTCTCGGGAGACATCTTCGGTAGACGATGAAATGTCCACAGACCATGGAGCACTACAGACATCGGGAGATGGAGGTGATGGCGATGTCCAACTGAATTGTTGATGAAAGTGCTCCGACCAGCGCCCAAGCCGACGTTGTAAGTTAATTTCGCATATGGTTTCACTGACGCATGATTTTTTGTTACCGGTGGCTCGGATTAGTCGAAAAAGTTTGTGAGCCTTCCCGGAAGCAGTAGCTAGTTCCATCTCGGAAGTGCGTTGTGCCCACCAGGTCTCTCCATCCTCTTTTAGGAACCGTTTCAGTTCAACACTGAGAGTCCTGCGAACTGTGTTGTATTCATTACCTGGAGGGATGCTTCGACGAGTGTCGAGGAGTTGGAGAGAACGTGCCGAAACCCAGTGATTGACTGTGCGTTTGGTGAAGCCACATGCTGTGGCGGCGGACTTATGCATGGCGTTACGGATGCGAGTCCATTGGTTGTCAACGTTCGAGGATGACAGACTGTCTAGATCAGCAGCTAACATGTTTTGGTAGGCGGTAACTACGTTTGGGTTGGTCAGTTTCATCAAATCTAGTCGTCTCGGATGATGTTGCTGTTTTCCGCCAAAGCGCAGAGAAAATTTCGCGCACACGAGTGCATGATCAGAGCTGTGATATGTGCTCCAGATGGATTTGCAGTCTGTTACGCAATTTCTCCATCGATAGCTGATGGCAATGTGATCTCTTTGAGTCCAGAGCTGATCAGACGACGGAGGTCGCCAGGTAGCACGTTGGCGCCATGGTCAGCGAAAATTTGTGTTCGAAAGGAAGAGACCATGTTCAGCGCATATTTGCAGAATACGGTCGCCGTTGTCACTTCTCCTAACATGGAAACTATGCTGGTCACCAAGTGAGGTTTCGTCAGCGTCTAACCTACCTACTTGTGCGTTCAAGTCGCCGGTTAGTATCACGATGTCAGTGTGTCGTCGACTGTGGAGCAGGTTGGTGAGCTGAAGGTAGAATTCGTCTTTTTTGTGTCGGGACTTCAGTCCGTCGGCGCATAAGCCACGATGACTAACAGACAGAGCTTTTTGTCCCATTACGAGATGCACTCACCGATCCCTTTAGACGGATGGCGCAGAGTCGACTATTGATTGGAATCCAGTCGAGTAAAACTGCTTGTGCGCGTGCTATCCCCACGCCGGCCTGACCAGCGGCCTCTGCCATCGGATCTCCGGAGAGGCGGAGGGTGAACGAGCTTGCAGAATCCGGAGACGGTGAAACGAGTTGCAGTACGGTG